CAGAATCTCAGAATCTCGAAATCTCGGAATCTCAGAATCTTAGAATCTCAGAGTCTCAGAATTCCAGAATCTCAGAATCTCAGAATCTCAGAATCTCAGAATCTCAGAATCTCAGAATCTCAGAATCTCAGAATCTCGAAATCTCAGAATCTCAGAATCTCGAAATCTCGGAATCTCAGAATCTTAGAATCTCAGGATCTCAGAATTTCAGAATCTCAGAATCTCAGAATCTCAGAATTTCAGAAACCAGAATTTCAGAATCTCAGAATCTCAGAATCTCAGAATTTCAGAATCTCAGAATCTCAGAATTTCAGAATCTCAGAATCTCAGAATCTCAGAATCTCGAAATCTCAGAATCTCAGAATCTTAGAATCTCAGAATTCCAGAATCTCAGAATCTCGGAATCTCAGAGTCTCAGAATCTCAGAATCTCAGAATCTATGAATCTCAGAATCTCAGAATCTCGAAATCTCAGAATCTCAGAATCTCGAAATCTCGGAATCTCAGAATCTTAGAATCTCAGGATCTCAGAATTTCAGAATCTCAGAATCTCAGAATCTCAGAATTTCAGAAACCAGAATTTCAGAATTTCAGAATCTCAGAATCTCAGAATTTCAGAATCTCAGAATCTCAGAATCTCAGAATCTCGAAATCTCGGAATCTCAGAATCTTAGAATCTCAGAATTCCAGAATCTCAGAATCTCGGAATCTCAGAGTCTCAGAATCTCAGAATCTCAGAATCTATGAATCTCAGAATCTCAGAATCTCGAAATCTCAGAATCTCAGAATCTCGAAATCTCGGAATCTCAGAATCTTAGAATCTCAGGATCTCAGAATTTCAGAATCTCAGAATCTCAGAATCTCAGAATTTCAGAAACCAGAATTTCAGAATCTCAGAATCTCAGAATCTCAGAATTTCAGAATCTCAGAATCTCAGAATTTCAGAATCTCAGAATCTCAGAATCTCAGAATCTCGAAATCTCAGAATCTCAGAATCTCGAAATCTCGGAATCTCAGAATCTTAGAATCTCAGAGTCTCAGAATTCCAGAATCTCAGAATCTCAGAATCTCAGAATCTCAGAATCTCAGAATCTCAGAATCTCAGAATCTCAGAATCTCGAAATCTCAGAATCTCAGAATCTCGAAATCTCGGAATCTCAGAATCTTAGAATCTCAGGATCTCAGAATTTCAGAATCTCAGAATCTCAGAATCTCAGAATTTCAGAAACCAGAATC